GGCCAGGTGCTGGTGGTGCAGGAGGCCAAGGCGGAGTGCTACGGGAGCTGGTACCTTCCGGCCGGCCGCATGGAGCCCCGCGAGACGGCGCTGGAGGCGGTGCGGCGGGAGGTGCAGGAGGAGTCCGGGCTGCAGTGCCATCCGCTGACGCTGCTGGCCGTGGAGGAGCGGGGACCCAGCTGGATCCGCTTCGTCTTCCTCGCCAGGCCCACCGGTGCGCCCCACCCCCGGCACGGGGAGGAGGTGGGAGGGCAGGGGGCTCGCTCCGAGGGGGGGGCGGAGGCTGGAGCGGAGGGACGAGCCCCTTCCCCTCCGATTAGCCAGGTGGAAGTACTGGAACCCCTCCCCCTCCAGGGCCTCAGACTCCCCCCCAGTTCATCCCCCCACCCCAAGGCTCCAGGGCTTCCTTCCTTTGGGGAGTTTCCCCTGGGCAACTTCCTCCCGCTGCCCTCCAAGGCCACAGCCCCATTTGGGCTTTGCCCCGTCATTCCCTGCCCTGCCCAGCGTCTCCCTTGGTTTCCTGGCCGGACCTTGGAAGCCTCTGCACCCAACTGCCTTCCTAGCTGTCTTCTCCCTTCCTCCCTCCAGGCGGGGCCCTGAAGAGCCTGGAGCAGGCGGATGCAGAGTCCCTGCAGGCGCTGTGGTGGGACCGGGAGACGCCCACTCTGCCACTCCGCTCGCGGGACATCCTGCCCCTCATGGACCTGGCACTGCAGTACCGCACGAGCCCCCGCCACCCTCCCGTTCTGCCTGTGGAGCTGCCCTGCGCCTCCATCTGCCAGCGGTTCCTGCTGACCTTTGTGGATGCCAACAACTCCCTCTGGGTGCTCCTGGACACCACAGGGGTCCCCCACCTCCCCCTGGCAGTAAACTGCCCCTCCGCCTCCAAGCCAGGCAAGAGGCTGGTGGCCGCCCTTCCGCAGCTGCTCCAGAGGTGCTTGGCCCCACCTGGGATGGCCGTCCACCTCCAGGGCCTGCTCAGCCTGCAGCACCTCGGCAAGGATCCCGGGCAAAGCGATGGCATCTGCTTCAACGTGGTGGCCACAGTCGGTAGCAGCGAAAGCTCCCAGCAGCAGGACCTGGCACCGCCCGCATTGCAGGAACCGGCTTTAAACTGGTGGGCAGTGGAGGACTCGGCTCTGAAGGGCGAGGTGCTCCGAAGGCTCCATTCTGCTTCCTTCCTCCCCATTTACAGTTAGGGTCTCTCAGTGCCAGAAATCAGAGCTTACCCCAAGTTCCAGCTGGGATAGAAATGCCCTGAGTGGTCACCAGACGTGGCTGGGGGATGCCTCATTTCCTAACCATGATGCCACTCTACAACCCCTCACCCCTCCCTGCTGAAAGCAAGGCAGTCCCGGCAGCCTTCGGACCCTCAAGAGCCACGGATGGGCAGTTAATAAACGCATCTATTTCCTGGTGGCTCTTGTGTGTTTCTTGCAGGAGGATGGCTGGAACGGGTCCCCTGGCATCTGTTCATTAGACGTCTAGCCCCTCTTTCCTCCAGGGGCTCAAGGGGGGGGGGGCGGCCACTGGCTCTGCCCAGCCACTTTCCCTCTTTATTTCAGGCCAGAAGTCAACTTCTGGCACCGATGGAACCATCCATCCCCACCTCAGACATCTCCACAGACTGGGAGAACTTCGGGATAGTCCCAGGAATGAGATGGTGGGGGAGGCTTCCGCTCTCTCACCACAGCAGGCTCTGGGTTCAAAGGTAAGCCAGGGGTCAGGTGGCATAGCAGGATTAATCTATACAAGATATTGCCAAAAATAAGTCCTGGCGGAAAACCTTCAGCCGAGTACTTATGCCAAGAAAAGTGGGTGAGAAGAGGGTCCCTTAGCTGGACAGCCCCACCCAAAGGACTCCCACAGGCTCTGGACAGGAGCCGGCCTTTTGCCCGGGCTCTTTGCTGCCTTCAGAGAGCATCCTCCATGTGACCAGAGGAGCAAACGTAAAAGGAGGCAAAGCTATGGCAAGAGATCCCCAAATCCAGGCACCACAGAAAACACTCCTTTTACAAGGACCTCCATGATTTAATCCCGGTGGCTAAACTAAGCTGAAAACAGCCCTTGTCTTGCTACTGTTTGTAGAAGATAAAATGCAGATGCTTCATCTGGAGCTGTCTGTTCTTGAGGAAGCTGCCAAGAAGACCTCCAGGGTACGAAAAGGAGTGGCAAAATCCGGGTCAGGCACAAGAAGGCAGCCAACAAAGTTCCAGCCTGGTCAAGGAAGACCAGAGAGGATTTTTCTTGGGAGAGCTGAGCCAGGGCTGCTGACGAGCTGCTCATCCCAACCGTCCCTCCTTGTTTGGAGCCCCTTTTATGCCAAGGACAAGCAGGTGGCAGCTGCCCCAAGGAAGTCTGTGTGGGTTGCTCTCAGCCAAGGAGACCCAGAGTTCTCAGTTGGGTGAAGGTGGGCATGGCTGGCTCTGCCCAGGCGGGCCCTTGAGGGCAGACTTGACAAAGACGATGGCAGCCAGCTCTTTGCAGAATTCCTCCAGCACAATCACCCCCTCCAAGAGCATCTGGTGACTGATCCTATGAAGAGACCACAGGCAAGGCATAAAAGGCCGTTTTCCTCTCCGTAATCGGCTGCCCTTCCCTCTCACGGCTGCCCAAGGCCTCTGGGTGGGAAGAGCAGCTTAAGGGTACCAGGACTACTCTTCGGTTGGCACCAGGCAGAGCACCCTTTCCCCAAGGCAGCTCACTGCCCTTTGGACACAACAGCTGCCATTAAGGTAACCTTCTCTGGGCCACAGTCTCTGCCCACCACAGGGGTGGGACCGCTTTGTCTTGGGCATGCCCTCAAGCCTGACCGAGCAAAAGCTGAGCTCTGAAACAAACCAAAGAAAGAAGCACCCCGTCCTCTCTGGTCCACTTACGGGTGCTCCTCTGACACCTGCCCCATGAGCTTCCTCCGCACCAGCAGCAAATTGGCCGGAAAGTCTGTGATCCGATGAGCCGTGTGCATCAGGCTGCCAATCACCTGGCAGGAGAGAAAGGAGAAAGAGGTAGATGGAGGGAGAAGCTGAGAAGGTTCTCAGCTGCAGCAACCAGAGAGGACACGGCTGGGCGCCTCTTGGATCCCTTGCAGAAGCTCATGGCCTCCCAGACTCCTATCCTGGTGTGCTTGACACACCAGGCCAAACGTTACCCTAATCAGCACAGAGAAGAGGGTCCTGCAGCCAGGGGCCAGAGGGAGGTAGGGGTCCAGGAGGTACTCGTGGAGATGAGGGTGGGGGAAGAGGGCCAAGCGGGACAGCAGCGATGTCACCTGCAGGTTCACTGCGTAGGGCTGCATGGAGAGAGAGACGGCGTTCATGGAGGCAGCCATGCATTCACAACAACCAGCCACCCGCAGCAGGTTCCATCCGCCACCCACCAGGAAAGGGAGCAGTGGCTGCCTGCCCCCCCTCCCGTCCTCCCCCACGACCAGAGCTGCCAGGTTCTCCACCCCTCTTCCTCGAAGCTGCTTGCCTTGCTGTCACCGGAGCAGCCTGCGTATTGGAGACTGAAGATGCTCTCCCGGGCGGCTTCCCTCAGCCTCCTACCTGGTGTAAGATCTGGGCCAGCCGGTTGAAGAGCACCTCCAGGAAACGGCCCTCATAAAATGGGGGTCCTGCAAGGCTGGTCTTCTGGGGTGGTTGAACCTGGGGCCACGTCCAGGGCGCAACATTCGCACAGCATTCTTCAAACTGCAAGAAGAGAACGGATTGGATTTGGGATGGTCTGGATGTTTATACTTTTTTAACCAAGTTTTATACTTTGCCCATTTCTGTGACTTGAAAAGATTGACAAAATGTAAAGTGACCCACAAAATGCAGAAGGCTGCCAGAGAACCCTTCCTGCTGCTGAGCCCCAAGCCCTTCATCTGGGGTGGGAGCCCACATCTTCAGGCAAGAGGCCTGTAGAGACTCAAGAGCCAACACTTCCAACCAGACCAGAAGCTAATGGACAACCAGCTCACTGACTGCAACATGGCATTTCGGTTGTCATTGGAAAGGAGACCAATCCTTACAATGAATCCTGGGCCACTTCAGAAAAACCAATTGCTTCTTTAGGGGTGCAGCAGGGGGAGAGTATCAAAGGACTCACCAGTTCTTTAGCATCATGGACGTAAGTGTCATATCCTGCCTCCTCCAGGTACGGTGAGGTCTTCACTTCACTTGGTACGAGGCAAAGGAAGCTGGATAAAAAAATCACCACAAAGAAGATGGCAGTTGGAGCTCTGCAGAACTGCACTTCCTGCCTGATTGCCCTTCATCCTTTCTGCCCAAGTAGAGAAGCCCACTTTGACCCCGGCTATGTTCCCAGCATTCCCCGAAGGTGGCTTGCTTTGGGCTCCCTCTTGGCTGATCCCGCACCTCCTGTTCATTTCCTTTCGGAATAAAATCTCCAGGCTGAATGACAACCAATCCGTTTGACCCCTGTGCCACAGGTGCTTTGTCCCCAGGCATCCCCAAAAGTCGGCTCCCCAGAAGATGCTGGGTTTGATGCCTGCCCACCCTTCAGTACTTTGGGCTGCCAGACAATTTGCCACTGCTGTCCTCAGAGTTGCTTGCAAACCCCCAAGACTGCCTGTAGACCAAAGTGGCTCTTTCACGAGCTCCTGCAAAATACACTCTTACACAACACCCGTCTGATGTTCTTAGATGCAGAGCCACAAACTCAGTAAGGCAGGCAGTACATCTCAACCCCTTTGCCTACAGAGGCCTTGCATCTTCCTCTTCCTAAGAGGGATGCAAGCAACTCCACAGAAGCCGCACCTGCTAACTGCCTCCTTCACATCCCTAGGCCCCTCTGGCCGGTCAGGCCCTTCCTCTGGAGCCCAAGGAGCTGCTTGGTTTTGCCTCTGGAGCATGGTGGCTGGGAGTCCATCTGCAAAGTAAGGGTCTTCCTCGAGGTCTCTGCAGGGAGAGAAAGAGGCCGGCCTTGACCACGTTTTCAAAGTTAGACTCTAATGAGCAAAAACACCATATTTCATGACAAAGACCAACTTCAGTATTGCTGCCTCAGGAAAGGGGGATAGGCAGGCAGCATGAGCTGTCCAGGGATCAGCCCTGGGCATCCAGGCTCATCAGCTGCTGCTTGAGCACAGAGACGCTGAGCTCAGCCCAATGCAAGAGGACCAGAGGAGGTCCTCCCTCCCTCCTCTCCCCTTTCTCCCCTGCCCCCCTGCCTTGGACCATAGGCTGGAGAGCGGGGAAGTGTCAACAAAAGCCTACTCTGTAACAGGACTGCAAAAAAAAAATAATGATTTCAATGCATCAAAAGTGCCCATTAGGAATCAAAATGACCAGCCGGGGGGGACTTTTCCTCATCAATGGCAAATGTGCCCCTATTCCACCCCCCCTCCCCATCACTTACAGCCCCTCTTCCCCAGACTCTTGCTCAGGGACGGCCAGGTCTTCCTGACCAAGCAGAGTTCCCAAGACGTAGCTGCGCTCCTCCAGATGGCCCAGCACCAGGCTCTGCAAGATGCGCTGGTCAGGAAGCCAAACCAGCTCCTCAAACAGCCGCAGGGTGGCCACACTGACCTGCAGCAAGGAGGGGAGGGTCAGCAGCTGGCTCTGGGGAAAGTGTCCTGATGGGTTCCAACAGCCGAGCCAGGACACTCAGGCCACGGACACCGCAGAGGAAACCCAGCTTTCATTCTGGCTTTCTCCTCATGCTCTGCTACAGGTTAAGTCGGGAGCAAGATTCGGGGTCCTGGGGGAAACTAGAGCTGGGCCACAACTCCCCAGACTTCCCAATTCTCAGGCCAAAGACACAGCAGACTATGGTTAAGATCCCCCCCCCATTGCTCCAAAGGGGCTTCCATTTCCTTGCTGACCCTGGGAATTGTGAAGCTGCTCAAGTGGAAAACTCGGCTCTCGTTTCAAATCCTCAGCGGGGAGGAAAGGCTGTTTTGCAGGTGCCCACAGGTACCTGAGGCAGAGCTAATTCCAGGTACTCAAAATATCCACGGCTTATACTGCACGGCCACCACTGCAGCTTGGGCAGAAAGGACATGGACTGGCGCGAGGCTCACCTCATCGGACGGATGGCTGCAGTACTCAATCAGCTGTGAGCAGAGGTTGGTTCTCTCTTGCCGGCAGGCTGAATTGCTGGGTCCGACGGGATCTATTTCCGCTCCCAGCAGAAGCCCAACCAGCTGCTGAAGGAGGGCAGGAGCATGTATCTGCCTAACCAGCCCCTTCAGGAGGGCTAGTGAAAAGAGAATCCCAGAGTCTGACCTGCCAAGAAAGGACCCACTGAGCATAAAGGTTGCTTGGCTGGGCTCCCCTCCAGAGTTCCCTGGCCACGTGACTCATGCAGCCGAGTGTCCACTCAGCCCAAACTCACATCTGCAAGAGTTGAGGCTGCAAGGTTTCCAGGAAGAACCTCCGACCCACAGTCGTGCTCAGAGCATCTCCAATAACCTGATGGGGTGCACAATCACAATTAGTCAGCCCTTCCAGCCCACCACACCCCCAGTGGGCACTCCTAGCCTTGAGGCTGGGCCAAGGAAGAAAAGGAAGGAGGCACAGAGAGAACAGGGGAGAAGGTTTCTTACGGGATGAGCCTCTTTCACGAGACAGTCACAAAAATCCATCCAGCCAAAGAAAGCCTGGAGGCTGTGTTTCCCTGGGAAGGAGCTTCCCTTGTCTGAGGTGTCATGCTGAAGCCTGCAAGTTCAAAACAGAGGAGACTCAACCCAAGGGCATCTCATCCTGCTGGCGTCCTTTTGCTGCGAGGAGCAGAAAAGAGGAACCAAACTTGGAGAAACTGGGGGGGGGGGGAGAGGGGTGTCATACCCCCATTTGCCATGCTTGGCAATATATTCCTCCCTATAAATGCATTTGTGCGGCTGGCCCTCAGCCATTCTGCTAAGATATCTTTGCTCTCGTCTGGTCTCAAAACGACCATAGTACGCAATTTGTCCTTCCACGTGGACTTGCTACACAGATAAGCTGCTGAAGGACAAGATGCAAACCAGAAAGGTGAGAACATCTTGAATAGGTGACAATGTAATTTGTCTCCGGATGTAATTCCCCAGATAAGCAGTTTGAATCTAGTTCTTATTCTGCCTCCTGAACACGAAAAAACAGAAGGCAATCTTCTCAGTTATTATTTAATAAGAGCCCAGGAAGCCTTAAAGAAAGTGGACACATTTAGGCTACATATAAGTAGTTCTCAACTTATGACAGCAATTTCTGTTGCTAATTGAAATGGTTGTAACGTGCAACTTAGCATCACTTAGCACCAACCCCTGCAGTCCTGGTGGCTGTCCTTAATTCAGTCAGTGGGGAAACTGGCAGGAAGTTGCAAGTCCAAGGCGGGCTCAAAGGTAATTGGTTGTTGCTGGCTTAGAGACAGAGCAAGGACAGGTGTGAGGGTGAAGGGGACACACTGTGAGGGAGAGAGAGTATATAAGTGTGCAAGAGACACAGCAAGGGTCAAGGAAAGTAAGTCACTGCGCAGCAAGGGTGAGGGAGGGTGCAGGAGAAGGTCAGGGAGTACATGGAAGATGGGCCAAAGGTTGGAGGGGGCAGAGTGGATGTGCACAGGTGCAACATGGGTCACAGCGGATGCACAGGGCTATGGTAGGATATAGCACGGATTGGGAAGGGTGTGCAAGGAGGCAAAGTGGGTGTCACACAGGTGAACAGGCAAGAGTTATGAGGATGGCAAAGCGATGTGAGTCAGAAGGCGCGAGAGTGGAATATGGGTTGGCGAATGCACAGGGAGGGTGTGTGTCAGAGAGGCTCTGAGGGGTGCACAAAAGGCACAGTGAGAGGTTGGGAGGGTTGAGGGAGCAGCCCAGGTGCAAGAGTCTCAGGGGCAGAGATTGTGAGCTCAACATTTTAACAGCTTTGTACCTCCACTGGACTGGTGGAAGTGTGGCAATATCAGCAGGGTTGGTGGTACCAGGGATGGCATTGTAGAGGGAGCAGAGGTAGTTGGCTAGCAGAAGGCACAGCAGGCTGTCTTGGGCCAAGGCCTGGGCAGCGGTTGGATGGTCCACACTGGTAAGCAGCAGTAGATTTTCTTGGGCTTTTAGTGCAACCTTCTTGTTCTGCAAGGAGGAAAAATAACACATTTTTTACAGCCTCCAGTCCTCCTCCACTCAGCATGTGGAAGGGCAGTCAGAGAGAGAGAGAGAAGCTCATCCTATCTGCTCTGCAGGAGGTCTGACCTTCACCTGCCCCAGGGCTGCCAGACTGATGGTTTCATACCTTGCTCTTGCACAAGCCAATCAGAGAAGTCACCAAATTCAGCCGGGAAGCAGTGGGGTCCCCTCCGAGGGGTTTCTCTGGACACAGACCTCCACCCTGTACTTCAGAAGAAGGCAGGCTCTGGCCAGAGGTCATGCTTGGCTTAGCTGCCAATCCCAGCAAACCAATATTCTGGCCCTTGAAAGAAAAGGGGAGGAAAGAGATGCAGGTCAGGTCAAGCTCTATTGACAACACAAGCATTTGGTTCTAATTTTATATAACTCTTGCAATTGTTTTTATATATAATTTTTTATCATTAGTAACCCACCAAGAGTCGCCTTAACAGTGAGATGGGGTGTCATGTACATTTCATAAATGAATGAATACAAACAGGTTTAACAAGGTACAATACTCTGGTCTTGCAAGAATGATTGGACATAACCATCACTGAAACCCTCCAAACAAAATGGACCAGCAGTTCTAGTTCCCAAGACAAATCACCCAGCAATCCCCAATCCCCACAACCAAAAGAAAAAAGAAATCCAGGCAATTGGAGCCAGAATGCAGATGCTGAGAAAACATCTCGTCTTTCCGTCACAGAAGAGTCAGAAGGGACAGAAAAATCCAGTAAAAGCCCTTTCAGATCGGAAAGAAGCAGGCAGTGACAACAAAGAAGCCTTTCTGATCCCACACTGTTGCACAGAGGTTCCCTCTGAAGTGCATAATTTGGAGCTGCCTAAGACTGCTGCTACAGGAGCGGCAGCCTTAGGCAGCCTGTAGCCCAATCATGGCACCACCTGCATCGTCCGTCCCTGTAGAGGAGCACAGAAATGACTGTGGAGATGGTACCTGGAGACCATGAGCAAAACAGGCAATTAGAAAAACAGCCCAGAATGAGAAAGAGGCAAATGCTTTGCCTTTGGTATAAGAGGGAGGGAAGAGGAAATGCTGTCAGGCATTCAAAATTCAGTTGTTTGAATAAGATAGAAGTCTAGTTATTTCTTGTGATGTTTGTTTTCTGTCCTGACGTAGCCTAGCAGGGCTGATACACAGTGTAGAAAGGATCAGTGCACCCAGCAATCCCTTACCTCTAGGACATGTGGCAGGAGAGCAGGTTCTTGCCTGATTTTGGTACACAGAACAGCAATAAACTGCAACACTTCCTTCTCTGGCTCGGGGCCCAATGCATCACCCTGAAGCTGAATAAGTTTCTGCAAAAAAGAATAAAAAGGTGTGGCAAAATCATTAACCATCAGAGATCCTTTGGAAAAACCTCAGAGCTGTTAAAGCTGGACACGTTTTCTAGTCACTAAGAAGTAGCTCCTTTGGCAGAATGGTCAATCTTCAAAATGAACACACACATTGCTGACTTCCCAAAAAGGCCCTCACCTGAACAGGCCGGTAAACATTGAAGTAATGCATGAGAGGACTCTGCATCTGCCCCAGCAGGCGAGTGAAAAAGAGAAGCACCTGTGACCTCATTCCCGGAGGATACTGTGGGAAGCAGAGAAACAAGGCTCACATTAGGAAAATGAGAAACAAGGCTCACATTCCATCAAAAATGTCCATCAAGACCTTTTACTTGGCTGCCTTGAATGCTAATGGAACACAGGGACAGTCTGATGAACAATAAACTGAAAACAAGCCTCAGTATGTAGGTACAGGTCAAGTACAATCTACAGTCTCCTGCAGAATAATTGTTATCAGTAATTTCTTTTCTTGTCTGCTTCTCAATGTATGATTTGGGGGCCATCTTGTACAAATGTTAATTGTCAAACTTACCCTGACTTTTATGGCAGGATGCCAGAGAAACGAAGAGGCTGAAGATGGCAGACCTGACATTACCTTATTCTGATAAATGAAATTAGTACCCATACGACTTTTTTAACCAAACAGAGAAAAGTCCAAACAAAGCCACAGTAAAGGGTTTATCTTCATGATTGGTTGGAAGAGGAACGACCTCTATTTGGATGTAGAATCTCTTTAGAGAAACGGATTTGGAAATGATGCCAAGGAGGCCAGAGGGGCATTTCCAGTTGGTAAATGAAGGTCTGAGTTAAGACTAGAAAAGTCTTGGGGGAAGGAACACCCCCCCCCCCATCGTGCCAAAGGAAGGAGCCGCCGGAGGAGCCACCTGGGCTTTCCCCAGAGCGCTGAGCGTCTCCAGGATCCGGTGCTGCAGCAGGTACTCCAGGCAGGGCCCTGTCTCGCCTTCCCGTTGCTGCTTCTCCTCGTAGACCAGGATGTCCAGCATCTGCTTCAGGCGCCAGGGAATCTCCGTCTGCTTAGCCGGCTTCTCCTCGTCTGGGGGCGAGAGAAGGGCAGCATCGGCGGCTCTGGCCCTCCTTACAGCCGCCGCCTCCCGAGGCTTCGCACCGACCAGCTCTACCCGCCACCGCCGACCCCCCTCCCTCGGGCCGGCCTGTGACGGGAGGCGGAGCGGGACCCCTGCCTACCGGAAGCCTCCAGGTAGTAGTGGGTCAGGCCCTTCCAGTGCTCCGTAAAGGCGGCCGGCAGGTCGAGGCGCGGCTCTTCCTGCAGCGGGAGAGAAGGCCCCCCAGCAACTCCCTCCCCTCCCCCCGAACACCCACCGCTTCCACCGCCCTCTGCAGCAACGCTCCCAGCCGGCCCAGCAGCGCCATGGCGCCCCCGCGTCATCCACCCGCGCCCCCACTCATGTCATCAGCGCGCGACGGAAGGGAGGGCGGGGCCTGGCTGCTGCCATGTCCTTGGTTGCGCTGCTGCTCCGCGGGGGCCGCGCTCGGGCCCACCCCCTGGCCCGCAGGCTGGTGAGGAGGGGGGCGCGGGGGGCGCTGGCGGGGGAGGGGGAGGGGCAAGGCAAAGCGGCCCCCGCAGCGCCCGGCCGCAGCCAAGGTCGCCTCCCAGCTCGGCGGCCTCTGCCGGCTGGCTCCCCTTCGTTCCCTGTTTACTCCCGGCGGCCCTGGGCGGCTTGGAACCGGTGAAGACGGGCAGGGGAAGCGCGGGCAGAGAGGCCTCCCGAGGGGCTTGGCGGTTCTTCTCAAGGGGAGCGGGGCGCGGGGTGTCGACCTTGTTCCGTCCGAGGCATCCGGAGCAGCGGCTGCGCAGAGATTGGGGAGGCAGCCTCTGTCCCGGCGCCCCGCTCAGGTGGGAGACGGAGGCCTGGCGGTCCCTGCCTGCCCGCCCCACCTGTACCGGTTTCGAGAGCTGCTCCCCGGGGGCTTCATCCCCTCCCGCCCGTGTCTCACACCAGGACACGCGGAGCCCCAGGGGGTCTGAGTGGGTCGAAGCCCCGGAGGGGAGGCCGCACAGCCCCCGCCCTCAAGGCAGGACACTCGGGGGGGAGGTCGCCTTTGACCCCCACTCCATAGAGCCTTCCCCCAATCCCATGTGGTGTGAGAAAGCATTGAGTTGCCGGACTTCAGCTCTGCCCAGTCTCCTGTCCCCAGAGCCCCCAGGCCATGTCTCCCTCCTCCCAAGTCCAGCAGCCCCCACCCCTCCCACACCCATGGCCCTGGCAGCCATGGAGGGTAACGCTCCTCCTGCCCTGTCAGAGGGATGGGATCGCTTGCCCTTGAGGGGCACCAGGAGGGCCTTCCTGTATGGGAAGGGAAGATTCAGGCACTGCTGAGATGCTAAAAACTGAAGTCAAGGCATTCCCTCCCCTCCTGGACCCACAGCTGACCTTAGAACATCACCTGTCGGCTGTGACCAGGGTGACATTTGCCCAGGTTCGCCTGGTGCACCAGT